CATGGAGTCACTATGAGTCGGAATTGACTCAGTAGCAACTAACAACAATAAGATCAGCAAAAGAACTTGTTATACAGGTTTTACCCAATTCCCTTTGACTAGCAACGTCTGGGTTAAGCGCTCAGCTGCCAATCAAAATGTTGGCGGTTAAACCCACCCAGCGCGTCCATAGGAGAAGGACCTGGTGATCTGCTCCCATAAAGGTTGTAGTCTAGAAAACCACACAGAGCAGTTGTACTCTGTCACATGGGCTCACTAGGAGTCGAAAATCGACTCGACAGCACCTAACAACAAAACAACAACAGCAAAGTCTGAGTGCTAACTTCTGACAGAGAACTCCGAGGACAAATGGTCAAACTTACTCTCTAGCTTGGACACAGGTAATTTTTTTTTTTTTAAGCAGCTGGGTGGATTACATTCAACAGACAGGACAAACAATTCTTTTTTATGGCCAGAAAGGGAGGGTGTTATGGTTTGAATTGTGTTTCCGCAAAATGTGTATTAATTCGGCTAGGCCATGATTCCCAGTATTGTGTGGCTGTCCACCATTTTGTGATCTGATGTGATTATCTTATGTGTTGTAAATCCTAACCTTTATGATGTTAACAGAGCCCTGGTGGTGCGGTAGTTATGAGCTTGGCTGCTAAAAGGTCGGCAGTTCAAATCCACCAGCTGCTCCTTGAAACACTATGGGGCAGTTCTACTCTGTCTTACAGGGTCGCTATAAGTCAGAATTGACTCAACAGCAACAGGTTTGGTTTGGTTTTGGTATGATGTCAATGAGGCAGGTTTAGAGGTAGTTATGTTAATGAGGCAGGACTCAATCTTTAGGATTAGGTTGTATCTTGAGTCAATCTCTTTTGAGATATAAAAGAGAGAAGTGAGCAGAGAGGAGAGGAACCTCCTACTACCAAGCAAGAAGGGCCAGAAACAGAGAGCATCCTTTGGATCCAGGGTCCCTGTGCTGAGAAGCTCCTAGGCCAGGGGAAGATTGATGACAAGGACCTTCCTCTAGAGCTGACAAAGAGAGAAAGCCTTCCCCTGGAGCTGACGCCCTGAATTTGGACTTCTAGCCTTCTAAACTGTGAGAGAGTAAATTTCTATTTGTTAAAGCCACCCACTTGTGGTATTTCAGTTATAGCAGTACTAGATAACTAGGACAGAATTTGGTACCAGAAGAGTGGGGTGCTGCTCTAACAGATACCTAAAATGTGGAAGCAGTTTTGAAACTGTGAATGGGTAGAGGCTGGAAGAGTTTTAAAGTGCCTAATAGTAAAAGCCTAGATTGCCTTGAAGAGACTGTTGGTGGAATTATGGACGTCAGACAACTCTGGTGAGAACTCAGAAGGAAGAGAGGAAAGCTGTAACACCAGAGATGGCGCAGACGGCGAGACCCAACAGCAGAGAAATGGCAGCAGTAGAACCAGACCAGCGTGAAATGGTGCGGGAGCTGACCTAGGGAGCAAGAGAGCTGACTGCTTTTGGGCAGGAGGCTTCCTGGAAGAGTGGGGTGCTTCCTGGCACTTACTGGTGGAGCTAGGCTTGCCAACCTACAGAGCAAGAGAGCTGAGCACCTTCTGGCGAGGTTTACTGGCTGAGTGAGGTGCCTCAAGGCACTTACTGATAGAGCTAAAGAGCTTTGGAACACTTGCCCGAGCAGGGCAGAAGCTGGGCTGGCCCAAGAGGCCTGAGGGGCCGAAGGCACAAGGGGCTAAGAGGCCAAGGGACCAGGAAGCAGAAGCTGAAGAGACAAGGAGCAGAAGCAGCAGAGCTGCCTCAGTCTCAAAGGGTAGGGCCATGACCTCTGGGGTCTCAGAGGATGGAATCATGGCCTACTAGGTCTCAAAGGATGAGGCCATGGCCTTCTATGTCTCAAAGAGTCAGATCTTCACCAACTCAGTTCTGGAGTGTGGGGTTGCCATTCATGAGTGCCAGGGGCTAGTGCCAGATCTGCTGTCCAAAGCTGATGGGGCAGGGCTGCCATGCTCATGGGGCAGAAGAACGGGGCCTGCTTGGCCGAGGGGGGAGGGTTGACACTCAGATGAACTAGGAGAATGGGGCCACCCAAATTCAAGGGAGCAGACTTGCTGTCCCAGTAGGCATAGAAGGTGGAGTTGAAGTCTAGGGCCAAGGGGCCTCCACCCAGAATCCAGAGAGTGTGGCCAACACCCAGAGTCTAGAGAGCAGGGCCATTGCCTAAATGGTCGCAGAGAACAGAGGATTATTTTCAAGCCTTGAGAGCTAATGTAATGTGTTCTACTGACTTGCTTGGTGCCTATTATCTCTTCTTTCCCTCCAATTTCTCCCATTTGTAATGGAAATATCTACCTTGGAAGATACTTTGGAAGCAGATAACTTGTATTCTAGACTTCACAAATGAAGAGGAATTTTGCCCCAGGATGGAATTTGGACTTGGAGTTAAGACTTTTGGTATGATATGATGGGTGAATTTTTGGAGGCCAAAGGGTAGAATGTTATGGATTGAATTGTGTTCCCCAAAAATGTGTATCAACATGGCTAGGTGATGATTCCCAGTATTGTATGGTTGTCCACCATTTTGTAATCTGATGTAATTATACTATGTGTTGTAAATCCTAACCTCTATGATGTTAATGAGGCAGGATTAGAGGCAGTTATGTTAATGAGGCAGGACTCAATCTTCAGGATTAGGTTGTATCTTGAGTCACATTTTGATCAAAGATTCCATAGAAGAATCCTGATCAAAAGGGGGAAAATGCAGAACAGAATTTAAAATTCTCATGGACTCCAGAATTTCTGGAGCCATGGAGGCTGGATGAACCCCTAAAACTATTGCCCTGAGTTAATCTTTAAAGCTTAAACCAAAAATATCCCCTGAAGTCTTCTTAAAATGAAACAATAGTTTAGCTTACCTAATAAACAATGCCTGCTTTAAGCTTTATGCTCTTTTAAGAACTATATACATGGGATAAAATTGACAACAGCACTTGAAACACTCTATTTTGAGATATAAAAGAGAGTAGCAAGCAGAGAGGAGAGGGACCTCCTACCACCAAGCAAGATGAGACAGGAGCGGACAGCATCCTTTGGACCCAGGGTCCCTTTGCTGAGAAGCTCCTAGACCAAGGGAAGATTTATGACAAGGACCTTCCCACAGAGCTGACAGAGAGAGAAAGCCTTCCCCTGGAGCTGATGCCCTGAATTTGGACTTCTAGCCTTCTAAACTGTAAAAGAATAAATTTCTTTGTTAAAGCCATCCACTTGTTGTATTTCTGTTATAGCAGCACTAGATAACTAAGAGAAGGTCTTTTCTAAGCATGACAGAAAACATCCCAAGAGCCCTTGACAAGAAGTGAACAGAAGAACTCCCGACTCAGGTTTGTTAGATTTGTCTTTTGTACAAGTAGCTGTGCCAGGTTCTCTTGATTATCTAAAAAGCATATGGTATCCAATATTTTAAAAAAGGGGAAAGAACAAAGAGGTTCTTGGCAAAGAAAGGTCAAGTCTGGACTCCTTCTCAAGTACATACGCATGCAGGTGTGCACACAGGTGTACCTGCTACCCATACGCACCAGTCCCACCCCACCAGCCCTGCCATGGATGAGTCTTCGAAACAGCACCTGGTCAGGTGGGATGCTGCAAGGAGAGGGAAGGTAGCCCTCTTTCTGTTAACCCCTGCAGCATCTGTGGCACTGCTAGAATCACAAAACTGCCATCTTGACTTCAACAATGGAGAAGCAGGTCACTTGGTTTCCCAGGGACCAGCTGGTGTCTGTTCAGCAGCTCCAAGAGCTGGAAGTCAAATGACTCTTGTGAGCTTGTGACCTCATCATCATGACACCCAGGTGCCCTGTTTCTACCAAAGTGCTGACTGTCCTTTCAGTCCTTTGGAAAGTACTCAAGTTTTTAATAGAAGGGACCTATAATTAGGGCAGTAGTCAGTGCTCTTAGCTGGGGCAAATGAGTCCTAAGATTCCTGACTATGGTTCAGCACAGATACCATGAGATTTTGGCATCTTGAAATTTGGCATTTTTTTTTTCTTTTAATTGTTGTAAATATATATCTACACACACACGTATATAAAACAACATTTGCCACTTCCACAGGTTTACAATTTAGAGATATCAATCACATTAATTATGTTGTATCCCCATCATCCATAACTGTTGTCAGAAATTTGGTATCTTGAAGGGGCCAGCCTTTTTCTGTAGGTGAGGGCTCCCTGATGAGGTGTCTCACCTGCCAAGCAGGGCCAGGGCCAGGCTGGGTTTTTCCTCCTCTCGGAGCAACCCCAGGCAGCTTGCAGCCCTCTTCTGAGCAGCCCTCTGCCACTAACCTCAGTCTTAAAGAGTTGCTGAACTCTAGAAAGTCAAGATCATCAAGAACAGAAATACAAAGAGACCAAGGCCTAAAGTATAGAGACAGGGAGTCAATTCCAACACATTTCACAGCTTAGGCACTGCATTTTTGTGGCCCTGGGAGTGGCTGAACCTGCCACACCCACTGTGGCAGAGGCTGGAGAGATGGCACCCTATAGGAAGCCTCCCGGCTCTATGGCCTGGGGCAGCCACCTATTCACCTCCCAGCCTGGGGACCAGGGTGGCTCCCATCGGGCAGCAGAGATGGCCGGAATGCAGTGAAGCAGGGGCGAGAGGGCACAGGGTGTCCTCACCAACTCCGCGGGCCGGGCTCCAAGGGCGAGCACTGCCCCCTCGCCCAGCAGGGGGCTGAACTGAGGGGTCACCTCGCTCCAGGAAGCTCAGGGGTGGGGCAGGCAGAGAGGAGTGCCCTCTGCAGCGATGCTCGGGCAAGCCTGGCATTCAGCCACTCGCCCAGGGCTGCCCTTGGGGCACGGAACAGGCACTGTCGCTGAGCGCCTAACCTCGGCTGGGCTACCTTTGGTTCGGGGGAGACGCAGCCGTCCGCGGGGGGCGCGAGCCACAAGGCAGGCCCGGCAGGGTCCAGGCGGGGGTCCACCAGGCCTGGGGGCTCGAGGGGAAGCTGCGCCGCCACCACCCACCTGACGATGTGGAAGACCCAGAGCAGACGGTCGGACCGGGGACGGCGCGCAGTGCGCACGATGCTGAGGTACAGGTAGAGGGCGATGGCCACGGTCCAGAAGAAGGAGCTGGTGTTGGCGAAGGTGGAGAGCGCGCCCTGCAGCACGCAGTCCCACGAGGACCCCGAGAAGTCCTGCAGCACCCCGTAGAAGTAGGAGGCGGCCGAGAGCAGGTCGGCCAGCGACAGGAAGAGCAGCAGGCGGCGCGCCGGGCTGCGCAGGTCGGGCCACAGGGCGTGCGTGGCCACCAGCAGGCCGGAGCCGAGCGCAGAAAGCACGCACGACAGCAGCACCACGACGCGCTCCGACGGCACCAACACCGTGGGCGGTGCGGGCGGCGGCATGGCCGGGCGAGGGCCGAGCGGGCAAGGGCCGCGGGGCCGGGAGCACAGAATCCGCGCCAGTTTTGCGGCCGCCACCGCTGCGGCAGTGTGGCCACAGGGCGCCCACGCCCCGCGTCCCG